CTGTGGTTTGAGTTGTGGACCTGGTAGCTTGAAAATCACACCAGGCATGTCATGTGTGCGTGCATGTCCAAGATCCTGGGAGAAGTGAGAAGGGATTGTGGCCTGGCCATCCCTTCTGGGGGATGATTTCTCACTTTCCCTCTCACTTATTTTCTTTCTCTCTCTCTCTCTCTCTCTCTCTCCCTCTCGTGAGCACACATTCCCTAAGGCAAAACCTCTTTAAAAAAACTTTAATAATAATAAAAAACATAGTGGGGGGGAGATATGATAGGCACCCAGTACTTAGCCAGCATCCAATAGCGGCTAGTTGTTAGTGCAATGAAATGCTATGCCCCAGGCCCTATGGTCTGTGTTCAACTGCCTGATTATTAATCCTTGAAATGGCCCCAGTTGGCTGGCCTGACCATCCCAAATCACAGATTGTAAAGCTTGAGTGAGTCACCCCAGATTAAGCAATTTTCCCAAGTCAAGGTCAGGGAGCTCTGAAGACGGGCTACACATACCCAGACCTGCAGAGTTCAGAGGCCCTGGCCCACCTGAGCTGAAGGGTGGGTCCCATCTGGATTCCAGGCTCTGCAAACACGTGAGCTTGGAGGGTCGGCTGTACAGGTTCCAACTGCGCATGCCAGCGTTGAGCCATGGGCGGGGACAGCACAGTGCGGCAAGACACCATCAACGAGGCACACGGCAAACACCGGGCTGCGAGAGTACCAGAGAGTACCAGTGCCTGGGCCCTCCACGTGGCTCTTCCTGCCCCATCAGTCCATCAGTCCCCTGAGCCCACCGCAAGGCCCGAGGTAGAGAGCAGGCAGGTCCTGGGTCTGTCCACTAGAGGGAGCCGCTGTGCGGAACAGAGGCGGGGCCCAAGGACTGGCACCAGGTGACACATGAGCAGCCAGGGTCAAGCCCGAGAATGGGAACATGACCTGTCCTGGCCACTGACTAGTAAGTAGCCTAAGACAATTCAGTCAGCCTCCTGATGGCTCTCCGTTGTCATCTGGAAAATGGAAATGACACTATCTGCAAGTACTTCGTAGGTCTGGCCTACGAATCAAAATGGGGGGGGGTGATTTGTCACTTAGCTTCTCTCCGTCTCTGTCTCTCTCCAGCAAGCACATGCGCCTTAGGAATCTTAAAAAAAAAAAAAAGATTCCACAAAACCATAACAATGTCTGACATGTGCGGCGATGAACCGCTGGGAGGCTGCTGGTCATCTGGATGCTGGTGTCGGTCCTGACCTCCCTTTCGATTCAAAGGGTGATGGAAAGACACGTGCGGAGCGTGGAAACGACAGAAGCAGGAGAACAACCTTCTAACGCATCTGAGCTTCCGTTTGGCCGGCATCGCCCCAGGCTGAGCCGCCCCTCCACAACCAGAACCCCAGGACAGGGGCTTGCCCGAAGCTGAGATAGATGCCCAAGCTGGTGGGGAGGCGTGGAGTAGCTGGGGCTGGGGAGGCGTCTGCCTCAGAAACGGGCCTGGAGACATCACGCCTCTCCCCTCACCCGAGCACCCGGTGCAACACGCTGGCCCTCCCATCCTGAGGCAGCTCCCTGCCCTCGCTCCTCCTTCTCTCTGGCCCCCTTTCCGCTGATTCGAACCAGCCTCCACTTCAAACCATTTCAAAGAAAGGAGCTCACTCCTGACTGGGTCCAAGGACAATCTCATGCCAGCTGAGTACCGGCACCTTCCTCCAAGGTTCGTGTCCACCTCGGAGTTCACCTTGGCCAGGACTGGAACATCGTAACTGGCTCCAAAAGCCCTTTGTGTTTTCACTTAGCAACTCCCAGCCTTGACGACGAGCTTGCACTTCTTCTTTGCCACGATCTTGCTAATGGTCTTTGCATACCTAGTTGGATTTGGCCCATCTTCCCTACCAGCCAAGGGAACGGCCAGTGAGTCTGTTCCTACAGGAGAAAGTGCACCCTGCGGCCGCGCTCCCAGCCGGACCCCTCAGCCCTGCGGGAGCTGTCTCCGTCCACCTCTCCAACCTCGTCTCACAGCCAAGGCACCGCTCAGCACCCATCCTGCTCTCTCGAACTCCCATGCCATTGCCATGCCATTCCCTCTGCTCTGCCTTTCTTTTCCACAGACACATTGCCAAACCTCAAATGCTGCCTCCTCCAGGAAGCCCTCCCCAGTCCTTCTAGCAGGCAAGATCTCCAGCAGGTTGCGTGGTGGTTGAGGTGCTGGATTCCCACATGACTGACCATGGTTCAAGTCCTGGACCCAGTGGCTTGAAAATCAGGCTGGGTGTGTGTGTGTGTTTGTGGTGTGTACCCAAAATCCAAGGAGAATAGAGAAGGGATTGCGTCATGGCTCTCTCCCCTAGAGGTGATTTCTCACTTTTTTCCGTTCTATCTCTCTCTGTCTCTCTCCAGTGAGCATGCTCCCCTATGGCAAAAATAAATTAAATAAAAATTTTTTGAGAATTTTCTTTTGCTATAGGGTATGTACACTCCCCAGAAAGACAGAGAAAGATAGAGAGATAGAAAGCAAGAAATAACCCTTCAGGGGGGATGGCCATGCTGCAATCCCTTCTCCTCTATTCTCCTCTCAGGATCTTGGGCACGCACACACGTGCCCAGCATGAGTTCAAGTCACCGGGTTCGGGACTTGAACCACGGTCGACTACATGGAAGTTCGGTGACATAGCCATTACACCAACTCCCTGATTTACCTCCTTTCCTTAGTTTATACTGTCTTACTTATCTTGCTCACTTCTGCTCATATCTGGGTGATCAGCTCACTCCCCACCATGTTCACACTGGCAGGAAGCTTCCTTGGAGCAGGACATCACCTCTCTTGTCCTGCTTCCCCTTGCTGGTCCCTAACCCCACTCTGCCCCCACCGCCTATCCCATCATCAGGCACAGGACACAGCTGCACTGCTGATCCGGGCAACTTATCAAGAGGGTTCCTGTTGCTGCAGTGCTGAGTCTTGGATTCCTCATCTGTAAAATGGGGATAAAACACCTGCCCCCAGGGCAGCCGTGAGGACTCAGGAAGGTGCTGAGTGTAGAGCTCATCACAGAGCGCTCCCAAGAGTAACCGCCCCTCTGAGCTTGGGCTCAGAGCCTTCCCCTGCAGGAAAGGGGCCTGAGGAGGTAAAGCAAGCTCTCTGCCCACCAGAAGAAGGCTGGCGTTGAACACGCGTCTGTGCTGCACGCAGCCAGCGTGCTCTCAAGATGGCCTGAGTGACATCCCCAGTGGGCGAGGGGCACTAGCCCACCCAGCCCAGGCAGGCAACCTTGAAGCCGCCCGGGGCTGTGAGGTGCATACCAACGAGCTCTCTGCTGCAGCCTGGCCTGAACGGAAGCCACTGTGACCTCCGCTGCATTCTGCATTCTGACGTCGGAGGACGAATGCAAAGCACATTAAATAAATGTTATGGTCCTAGCGACAGGGAGGAGAACTGAGGAGTCTCTGGAGGGAATGCTGAGCCCAGAGCCTGAAGCCTTGGCGCCAAGGGCCTAAAACGGCAGGGAGCTGCTTGCAGGAGGCAATTCTTGATCCCAGGAGCACCCGTGGGGCACATGCAAACAGCACCCAGGCAGAAGACTAAAACATCGGGGGACCATTTCCTTCTCCTCCGTCCCCCCATACCTTTTTTAAAAAAAGAACCAGTATTTTTGCTTGTTTTGGTCAACAAATTTGCCTAATGTAATTGTCCCTTTTCCATAAAGATGTTTTGTACGAAAAAAAAAGAACCAATACAGGGCTGACCCCGTACCTGGTGGTTAAAGGGAGCCAGATAGCACATGGACAGCTGAGTTCAAATCCTGGCCCTGGTGGCTGGAAAAACAAACCAGCACGTGTGTGTGTGTGTGTGTGCCCCAAATCCTGATAGGATGGAAAAATGAGGAAAGGATTTACAACCACACCCCATTTCTCTAACTCCCTATCTCTGTCCCTCTGTGTCTCACTGGTGAGTACACAGAAAAAAAGGAAAGAAAGAGACAGTCCAGGTCTGGCAGCAGGAGGGTTGCAGTGGGCATAGCTACTGATGCCCTGTCACCTTCCTCAGATTACAACACCCTAGGCAACCACCCCTCCCCCACAGCTAGAGTCTTGGTGGTCCTGTCAATCAAAGCGTCCCACCAGCCAATCAGGTGTCTGTCCCCGGAATATGAATCTTGAGAGAACGGAATGCTGGGGAACCTCCTCCTCTAGGCTACATCCTGAGTTCCCCAGCTTCAGTTCTGGGGCTTGTCCACACCCCTCCAGTGAACCCCTACTTTACAGAAGTGACCCAGAGCCACTAATAATATGGCGGCTGCATGGGGCCATGCACCTGCCCTGGACACGGGACGGTCAGTCCCCTCTAATTTAAAGAGGTGCCCTGAGCCTTGTCTTTCTGCTTCCTGATGGCTGAATTGTGTGGCCCAGCTTCAACAACCAGAAGAGGTGATGCTCCGGGGTAGGGGCTCAGGGGCGGATGAAGGCATCTGGGTCCCAGAATAAGTCCTGGAGCAGACTGTTCCAGGCTAGGCGGTCCTCTCCACTGTGCTGTGTGAGGAAGAACGATTCCCTCATCTAAGTCACAATATTTAGGCTCTGCTTTTTTTAAGTGTATTCATTTGTTGAGAGGTATCCTCGACTGGGTGACACGCCGTGATCCCCCCACGCCCCGCACCAGGATCATGAACACGTGTGCGTGCACCGGTGCAGACAAATCGATGCAGGAACTGAGCCCTGATCTTCCAGATGGCCTCCAGCACTGCAGAGCATCGGCTACCGCTGTGCCCCTGCCGTCGGGCCCTGTGTGGGCTCCTGTCTTGTGAATGCTTAGCCTCGGTCACACACACCACCCAGGTCAGAGGAAAAAAGAACCCTTTGGAAGGGATGTGAGGGAGGGGACAGATCCCCAACAGAGCCAAGCCCCTCCTTGCAGCCTCTAAGAAGCCTAACAATGCTGGATTTGGAAGGAGAACATGGTACCCCAAGGGCCACCTTCTCCCCTGCCCATCTGGCTCTTCAAGAGGCTGAGGTGGAGCTCACCTTTTTCTCATCCCCGCCTTGCAGCAGATGTAGGGTGCTCCTCCGGTCACCCTCATGCTGCCTCAGGGCACTGCCGTGGCGCTGGGGCAGGCCCGAGGGCGGCGAGGTACTGCGGCCCTGAGGGTCCACCCAGGTGTAGATGTGGTTGGTGACATAGCCCCCGGGGATGCGCCCCGCTGAGTACACGGACAGCACCAGCTTCTTGGAACCCTTCAGAGCCTAGGGAGAGAAAGATACACAGGTTAGAGGGAAGTGGGGGTGGGGTGGAGGGACACCCAACCACACATGGAGGGGACACTAGCCCCTAAGTCCCTTTCCTTTCCTCGTCCTCAGTTTGGTCCTATGGGAAATGAGGACATCTCTTTCACCCCTCCTAGAAGTCATCCAAACACAAAAAACATGATCTCTTAGGACACCTGGGCACAAGAGTTAACCAGGAGTCCTGAGACTGTCTTCCTAAGAAAGGGCAGCTTGACAGATTGGCTCTGGAGCCTAATAATTAAGGGAGCTGGATCCCACCTAGCTAATGATGGTTTGAATCCTGTCTCCAGCAGCTTGAAAGAACAGGCCAGGCAACTAGGTGTGCATGCCCCAAATCTGACAACATGGAGACATGGACGGGAAGGGATTGCAGCATGACTGCGCCCCATGGAGGGTTTTCTCCCTCCTCCTCTGTCTTTCTTTGGCAAGTGCATACCTTACTGGCAATTAAGAAAAAGAAAAAAAAGAGATTAAGAATTAGGGCTGCTTGCAAGGCTGGCCTTTGTCTGTGGTCTTGGGAAACTGGAGCTAGAGCATGATCGCACCGTTCCTTGATGACAAGTAAGGCCCTGTGCTAGACTGTGAGACAGCGTGGTCTGTGCCGAATGCTCGCCTTCCTTCTGGAGGTCTGGAATGTGGGTACAAGCGGAGGGTGCCTATGAGACCAGTCCCCAATAGCAGCTGAGTGCTGACTCTCTAAGGAGCTTCCCCGATACACAGTATTTCACACACGTTGTCAGGATTTGGTGCCAGAAGAATTACACGTGAGTGCTTGGACCTTTGGAGGCTCATGCCAGGTTTCCTCCAGGCTTTGCCCAAAGCACCTTTTTCCTATGCTCATGTCGCTCTGTATCCCTTAGCCATAATAAATCTTAGCTATGAGCACACCGTATACTGAAGCCGGTGGGCCTTGCTAGGGAGTCACCAACCCTGGGGGTGGTCCTGGGGAATACCATAAAATACCATACCAGAAAATGGAGACAAAAGCACTGATAATAACAATAGCTTAACACGAATAAATGACCTGTATGTGTCAGACCGTCTTCTCTGCCCCTGACATGCATTATCTCCTGAAATCCTCCCAGAACCCAATTCTGGGTGATCCTGTTACTCAGAGGGGGAAATGGAAGGCAATCACCGGCCGAGGCAGCTAGCGAAGAGTTTTTTTCCCATAGAAACTAATTTTGAGTATAGACATTCAAAATTATTCTATATTTTGGGATGGAATAACCCCATGGAGACAGGAGCCCTGACTCTGTACCCTACAGTGAAGGCAGAATGCGGCCATACTGCATCCCCACAATGCACTGCAGCTGAGATGAAGACGTTTATTTGGGGAGACGGTCCCTTAGCTGTAAGATTAACTGCAAACTCTCCCGTGTTAGGGACTGAGTGTTTGTCCCTCCAAAACATCTGTCAAAGCCTTACCCCCAGTGTGAGGGTGTTTGGAGATGGGGCCTTTCAGACGGAATTAGGGTTAGATGACTCACAAGGATGGGGCCCTTGTGATGGGATGAGTGGCTTGATAGGAAAAGAGAGGGGTGGCGCCCTCCTCCCCGTGAGGACACGGTGGGAAGGCAGCCTCTGCAAAGCAGTCTGTCCATCTCAGACTTCCAGCTTCTAGAAAATGAGCCACCCAAGTGACGCTCTTTCCTTACGGCAGCCGAGCTAACGGACTACCGCCTTCTGCACCTGGGGGCAGCGTGTGCACACGCCGGCATCTGCATGGACCAAGTCTCACGCCGCTGCTAAAGTCCTGTTTACAGAGGGTTTGGAAGGCTGTGGAAATGTGATACGTTTCAATGTGAAGTGGGGTCAAAATGCCACAGATCACTGCCGGTGCATCAGGATGATCTCAGTCATATCAAGAGAAGATTTTTACAGGAAAAAAACAGAGCCGGGAAGTAACAAGCCGAGATGCCAACAGAGCTTCTCCCCGGCCGTGGGATTATGTGCGATTATTATTGTGTCTCTCAGGATTTTCCAAACGTTCCACAACGAGGGTACGATGCTTTCCATATGAGAAAAAAAAATGGTGTGATGTACAGTGATTGAATGTATAAAATAAATTAAAATTTTTAAAAAGCCATGTGTCTTAAAAGGAGAAGGGTGACACAGCTCCCGGCTCCCTGAGCTTATTGGAACTGCCAGGCACTGGGCTTCCTACCCCCCTCCACAGGGCCTGCACCAAGAGGCCACTGTCTGGCATTTGAACCTCTCCCAGAAGAGGAAGAAGAGTGAGAGGCGCCTGGGCCCTCAATTCCACAGCTAAATGTCAGCCCCTGTGGAGGGGTAATGGTGGCATGGCGGCCGTCCAACCATTCTGCTTTTAAAAAAGATTTTCGAGAAGATGAGCAAGGTGAGATTTACGGTGTTCTTTCAGCGTCCCTTGGGAGCCCCTCGACAGAATGGTCAGGAAAAACTGAATCTCTGTTAAGTTGAAGATGGAGGATGGAGGAAGCCGAGACCAAGCGGGCTTGTGCCGCAGCAGAGGGGAAGGTGCCAGGCACAAACAGCATCAGCAGAGGCTATAGCACCCTCCACGACCCCGACCCCTCATGTCCTCCCTCCTCCACGAGGCACAGGTCATGGTCCGATGCTGTTTTAACGGACCTTCCTCTTTCTCTGCTCCCTCCTGGACACCCTGACACTAAGCCCCGGCACTCATGCAACCCAGGCTGAATAGGAACCTACTGTGTCCCGGGGAATAAAGAGGGACATCCTTAAAACACTTGAGCTTGGTAAGAGAAAACCAGGCCCCAGCACACAGTAGGTCCTCAAGCCTTGTGCCTGGTGGGAGACCGGGTGTCATGTGGGACACAGCAGGTACTGAGAAAAGACTGGCCTGATGGTGTAGAAAGACAGGTACTGACCCAAAGAAACCACACGATCCACTGGTGTGATCCTGCAGCCTCGGCGGG